ACTTGTGTCACTAAAGTTTCGCTGGAACGAAGTTACTGAAAATTAACTAACGAACGGAGACGTAACAATATATATATATATATATATATATAAGTATCTTTGTCAGGATTATACCTGTAGTAACATAAAATATTGGTATTTTTATGAAATCTAATCTCTGTTTCCTATATTTACTTTTATTTTTCATTCATATTGCAAAAACTGTTGAAATAATAGAAAGTAATGTTACTTTGCCCAGAATATATTACTACTTTGCTTCATCAAAATGTTTTATTTTTCACTTTTATGTATGTGTAGTACATTTAAAACAGTTTATTTTAGTCTAAATGGATTTTGAAAAATACTTAGGTGCTGATCTATTTTCCTTAAAAAATGTCATGGAAGTAATGTGACTTTTTTTTTCCCTCTTCACATCTAGTGGTTCCCTCATAGAAAAGGTCTTGTCAATGGTATAGTTGTTGCTGGATATGGACTTGGAGCTTTAATTTTCAATCAAGTTCAGACAGGTTTTCTTAACCCAGAAAACAAATCTCCGGAAAACAATGGGTCTGTTGATTGTTATGTGAAAAAAAACTATTTTGTATAAATATCTATTTGGTATTTCAATAATATCTTAATGCAAAAGGTGTACTTGATTTGCATGAGATCAAGAGATTTCCTAGGGATGCCAGTAGTTTTGATGCTGGTTTGAAGCCAGTGGTTGCTATTTTATTATAACTTTCAATTGCTGCATGCTCTCAAACAGTAGTAAGTTAAGTGTTTTTTTGAAATTTAATAAATGCTATACTTGATAACTTCTACTAGCATATTCATATTTCCAGTCAATGAGGAACTAGACCACTTCTTCTCAGGATATGAGCATATTTGTATTAAGCAGCATTTTATTTGTGCATTTACTTCTTCAAGATGTAACTTTGAAAAATATACCAACAACATTTATTGTAATTTTTATTTTTAAGAAATCTAATGCAAAGCTTACAAAGCTGCAAAATTTCTGATATTTTAATAAATAACTTAGAATTTTTACAGTTGTGTGAAATTTGTAGATGGCAATTTGAACTATCATGAAGTTCTGAATGCTTTACGTTTTGTTAGTATTGATAAGAATTAATACTATTACTTAATTCTTTTCAGCCAGTTGTATTATTATTAATATATAGTAAAGTTTTGGGGATGTGTTACCTTTCTTTATTGGTTGTTCTAAAATGTCAGTTTATCATTTAGAAATTGAATATTATTATTTTTTTTTTTAGTTATATTAACTTAAAATTTTATAATAAATTTCAGGTCTGTATTTAATTTTTTTACATATTTTAGGTATATTAGGTCATCAAGAAATTAATGTCGCATTTTGAAACACTTTTATTAACCACCCCTTCAAAAAATGTACATCACATTTAATAGTTAAACAAACAGCCTAAATGTCAAGTTAGTGTAGCCTATATAATGTGTAAAGTTTAATATACTCTAATCCCTTTTCATATATAAGTTATTTGGGTTTTTTCATCTAATAAAAAGCAACATTAATTTCTTGACGACCTAATATAATAAGAGTGCAAGTCATTAAACTATAATATGGGTGTAAGTCATGAAGTATCTGCAAAATTTTACTATTATGCAAAGCAGCATTTTAGTACAGTCAAGAGAAATTCTTAAAGCTTTGCCTTTTTCTCACAATTTAATTTTCCATTGTCATTTGTTTCTCACTGTCTTGTTTTTTATTATATTCCTCAGGTTTGTATCTCTCTCTCTGTACTTTCTTCATCAGCTTAATGTGTATTTTTGCAATTACCGATGATGGGAATCAAACTTGTGAAACTTCCAAAGATTAAAGATTCTTAAATCTTCATGCTTTTTCCATACAAACTTTACCATTCTATTCTTCAGTTTTTTTTCTCTTTCTTCATCAGTTTCATATATGCTATTGGAAATGCTGATTATAGAATTTGTAAATTTCAAAACTTTCAAATATTCAACATATTTTTGTATTTTGCCATAGTGTTTGTTATTCATAATTACATTGCTTTCTGCCTGATGAATCTTTTTCTTAAGAATTATATTTAAGAATGTCATTTTGAAAAAATAAAATATATATAAAATTAAGAGCCTTCTAAACAATAGCATTGGTAGTGGAGATGAATTTAGCTATTTATTGGTTCCAGTATAGTTAAATTGTATTTAAGGTATTGATGGTTTATTTATAAACACAAAACTGTTTTGATATTGCTTTGTCTGTTGATATAGGTATTTCAAAGATCCAGAGATTTTAGATCGAGTTCCTAAGATGTTACTTTTATTGGGAGGTGTCTATGCTGCAGTGGAGCTCATAGGGTGCTTTATTCTCTTTAATGCACCTAGTGAAACTTTGTCAGTAAGTCTTGTTTGTGAAATTTTACTCCATATTATAGATAAGTTTTATTATCTTTATATATTTGTGTTTTAGCACAGGTGACTATAACAGTTCACTGCTCTAATTAGTATCAACAGCTATGTTTATTTATAATGGCTGTATCTAATTTATCTATTGTCATTTTCCTTTGTACACAATTATTATGCATTTAAAGTTGTGAGTTATTAGTTGAGATACATCACTTTTGTATAAAAGTTCATTATTTCTGCTGTATATATCTAGAAATTATGATTCATAATGCAACAGTTAAATTATGCAAACAAGTTCAAGTCGCTAAACAAAACATTACTTTTCCTATGATACACAAGACACTAAAATTCTATTGCATTTACAAAATGGTTTTGAACTTGTTTATCATTATGGTAGTGGTAGAACTGAAATAACCTTCTACTGGATTGAAAAAAAAATTGTCTTGTACACATTATTGTGTTTACTCTGTGTATTCAGAGATATGAACATTTCATGATGTATACACAAAATTTTGAAAAAATCTGTCTTATGCTGCTGTGTTGACTTTTGAAGTTTAGTTTGTGATGGCCTTTACAAGTTTAACAATTTATGTAAAAAACATTCAGACAATTAAATGTTTTCTTCTAATTGTTTTACATAAAAAAATTGTAAACTGTCTCGTCTGTTAGTTTGGAGAGAGAAATATATATAGCAAAATGATTGCTGGACACTGCAGGGTGTACTGTGAAGTTCAAGGAGATAGGTAGGGTTGAGCCTGGGACTATTGTAAGGTCAACAATATCATAAGAATCTGTAGCTGCATGGTAGTGAGTAGGATTATTGTTGTTGATGATGTGCATGTTATTGTTTTCTAGAAGGGTGTGAAGGGCTAAGCTTCTAGAATTTGTGTGATAGCTATGAAAGTTGGTGTGGGAGGTATTGAAATTCCCTATTAGAATGGGCTTGGGTTGCATTAGCAGGCAGTTTTGTAAGAAGTTTGTCTAATGATTTGCTGGGTGAACAATACCTAGCTAAAACTGAGATTCATTGACTCATGTTAATGTGGATACAACGTAAAGTACTTTATGTTTGAAAATGTTTCTGTTTCAACTGATACGCAATGAAAGGTGATGTTTAAAATAAATTGCTAATCCTCTTGTCTCGCTTGTTTTTGGTCATGTGAAAGACTTAAACCTTAGAATGTTGATGTTAGTTTCTTCCTTGGCAAGAGTTTCTGAAATTATGATTACTTCTGCATCAGTATTATTGTTCAAGTTGAGGATTTCAAGTTTCTTGGTATCTAATTCTCCTTAGCAGTTTATGTGTAAAATTGTTGATGTGTTTCTGAATGTTAGGCTTTGATGCATAGTGTAATGTGGTGTGGGTAGTGGAAAGTAGTGCCTGGCTAAGTTGCATATATGATTAGTAAGGGTGTTGTATTCTACAGAGGGGATGTTGTGCACCAGTGCTCAACTCACTAAATGATCTAAATTATTTTGTAAATCAGCAGCATCTTCTTCACAGCTAGCAATACCCAAGACCTTAATATCATCTGCAAACTTAAGTAATTTATTTGTAATTGATATAAATCAAAAAGCAAAGGTCCTAAGACTGAGCCCTGAGGTACCCCACTTTTAATATTAATCCAGTTTGAATGAATCCCATTTGTAACAACCCTGTGCTTTCTTCCATTTAGTCACTTTTCAATTCAATTTGCTAACTTATCCCACACACTTCAATCAGATCCCCCTCTAACTCTTCTTTTTTTTTTCCAAGAAAAAACAATTTTAGAGATTTCAGCCTCTC